GTGCCAAATCCAGAAACACGTGCTAGTGAGATAACATGATGCCAAAGCGCGGCCTACTACATATGGTCGTTCCCACCAGATCATCGTTATCAGCACGTCCCACGCTATTTCCGTCCTCGCTAACTCATTCGGTCAGCGCCATGGGATGATGCTCTGCAAGCCCGCTTGTGGCGTTTTTTCCACTTCAACCCCGCCCGGAAGGGCTCCCGTATGGGGCTGCTTGTTTATCTGCGACTAGTGCCTGCGGGGTTCATCGTTGCTGCATGGCCTGGGTATGTATGTAGTGTGTTGTGGTGTGTGTTGTTTTCTTTTTTTCTCTTTAGGTTGTTTACTACCTACGCTTACATGCGGCCACCATCCACTGTGGGGTCTCCGTTGTTTGTGGTTTGTTTGTGATGGAGGCGTCGTGATGGAGGGGCGCGTGTGATGTGACTATTTGGGCCGTGTCAATATATACGCACAACAAACATGTTTGGATGGAAGAGTCTAGGTTGCCAATGTGATGTACAAGTTTTGCCCTCTCGGCTTCATATGTGAGTTTCCCGTCGCCTTGGAAAGTAGATAGTAGGATGTCCCAGACCGTGATAGCAAGATAAGCAGGATAAGTGAGAAAGCATCCGACCCAAACCCGTAAACACCGCATCCCCCTCCACAAATTCAAACACCCATGCCCCATCGCAACCCCGACGCAACCCAGTCTCGCACGCGAACATCAAAGATTCCTCGGTCCGCAAAGACTCGTCTTCTCCACTACGAGTTCCAGACTATCTCCGCCCAGTCCACAGGCGTTGAACCTGCTCTTCCAGCACCCACCTCCCTCGTCCGATGGCGACTGAAGTTGAACCACCTTTGCATTGAGTTCTTGAAGGTTCTTTTCCTGAAAGGCCTTGCTCAACGCATCTTTGGGTTCTTTCTCGTGGCTGAGTTGGATTTGAAGGGCGCGAGCTGCGCGGTTCGCGGCGGACAGGGTGGTGTAGATTTCAGGGCGGGTGTGGGCGTGGTAGGCACGGATTGGTTCTTGGGTTGGGGGATCGGGGGAGTCGGTGCCGGCGTCGGATGAGGAGGAAGAGGACGAGTCTTCAGCGTCGGCTTGTGTGATTAGTTTGAAGAGGCGGACAATGTAGCATGTGCTTGAGATGAACGACGTGCCCTTTATTGCCTGTAGGGTCTGGTTTGCGAGTGCGGATACAAGGTCGCGCTGTACCCAGATCTTGAGGTGGGAGGTGTTTGCGGGGTTGTCAAAAGGTGTGATGGAGCCAGTGAGGATGGAGCATCCGTGTTCGTCCCGATTGTTGCTCTTTTCGAAGATAACGTCTTTCAAGAGGGTGGTATTGCTATGGAACACTTTTTCGGCTTGCGTGTTTGCGTCGTCGAGGCTAGTGAAGGGTCGCACGGTGATCTCAGTCGCTGAGAGGGTGCTTTCGACCTGCTCGCCCTGCCAGGTCTTTTGAAAGACGGAATATTCAAAGTAAGGCTGTGCCTCGTTGGAAACATCAGGGAGGCCATTTAGTTGTAGGATCTCCTCATTCGTGTCTATCGTAGTCTCCAAAGGAAGCAGACCTGGATCGGTTGTTGATACGGGTGGTGTCGTAGCAGTCTTGGTGGCGCGTACGATCGTCTTCGCTGACGAGGTAGGATTCAGATCCTTCATTGGGAGATCATTCCCTTTCTTTACGATCGCGACGTGTTCATCTACAGGATTGACATCAGTGGTCTTGGAAACAGATGATATACCAGTAGTCGCATGGTCTAAACTATCGACGTCCATCAATGTACTGGCTTCCGGTGACTGTTTCGAACCTCCAGACATCCGAATCATTGATTCGTTCAACGATTTCTCTATCTGAAGCGTAGAAGCCGCTCCGTGGGGTGCGTCTCCTTTTTTTGCGGGGGAACAAGGCATGTCGCTAGTCTTCGTAGGCACCTCACGCGAAGATGTTCTCGGGGCTACGTCTGAGCCAGGGGTAATACCATCCTTTGATGCTGGTATTGCACTACCTGGACGCTTCGAACCAGTGGTAGAGGTCAGAGTAGGCCTCTTGGATGCTGTACCGGTGATTTGTTCAGGCCCATCGGAAATGATGTCCAACTTTCGCTTTTGAGTTGGCTGTCCAGGAGCTGACGAAGCAGATTTGGAGTCCGCTGCATCCGCCTTGGATACACTTGGTGTGGTTCTCCTGGAATTTGAAGCAGATGTTTGTGCCTGATCCTGTGATCTTTTCGCTGCTTCAGGCCTCGATACCTTCAAAACATCTCCTGGGGAAAGTGAGTGCTTCTCAGGTGCTGCATCGTTCGTAGCGGTATTGTGGTTTTTCCCAGGTATTTGAGCCGTCTTCCTGAATTTGCTGACTGGAGACGTCGAGATCGGACTTCTTTTGGCAATTTCCAGCTCGTTTCGGCCACTAGTCCGAGCCTTTGAAGATGGCCCACCCGTACCATCATTTCTTGCATCCATCAAAGCCAACTGGAGAAGACTCATAGGCTTAGTAGCAGGTGAGGCCTTGTGAGTTGACGCATCATTCCCGTAACCTGGAAGCGTACTTGCATCCAACAGCTTGCGCGGTTGGATTGCTGCGCTGGGCGAAGAACCTTCAATAGCGGCGCTAGGGGGTAAGGGGTTTGAGCTGATCTGCTTTTGTACACTACCATAGGTTCTGATATTTGCGATAGGTTGCTCAGTCTCTTGAAAGATCGAAGTTGGTTTGCCCTTAGTCGTTGACATCGATGGACCCCTCACTTTAGGCTGTTGATCAAGGCTTTCTGCTGGTTTTGTCTCAGATACCGCAGCGGGTCGTTTACCACGGTTTGTATCGCTACTGCCGGTCGACTGCACAGGCACTGAAGGTTGTCGGTTAAGTGGTGCAGTGAGACCCGTAGCAACGGGAGATGCGCGAGCTGTTGCGACGGATTGTTGTACATGCATAGATGGTCGCTTCTCCTTGGTATTCGTCTTTGTGCCTTTGAATCTTCCCAAAAGCGCGTTAAGACGGTCTTTGTTCAACTGCTTAGTTGGTAGGTTTGTTGAAGTAGACTCAATCCTCAAGCTGGCCGGAAAAGAGTCTGGTTTTTCTAGTCCCCAGGATGGTCTTGGGACGAGTGATCTAGAAAGATTGCCATGCTTGCGGTCATCTTGATCGCTCTCGTCGCTGCCCTCGATATCGCTCTCGTCACTGCTCGTGACAACGAAACCGCCCTTCGTGCATGGGCGCTTCGCGGTGCTGGATGAGGCAAACGGCTCACTCGGACGTCTCTTGGCTGTCATGTTCTTCGTCTTGCCCACTTTGCTATCAGATCTTTTGTGGGTAACGGTTCCCATAACGCGCTTGTGCTGTCGGCGAGAAGCTGAGGTCTGAAGTTGCTTGCGTTTTGCAATCAAGGTTGGTGAAGAGAGCACTTGGCGAGATCGAGGACGGCTGCTTCGAGACTCACTGCTATCGCTTGCCGCAGTCTCAGCAGATTTGTACGCAACAGGCTTCTTGCGCCGGCCTTTCTTAATTAGTGGTATCGGAAGTTTTGCTGGCTCGTCTTCTTCACTTGTTGCATATCCAGCGAGCTGTCCCAGGGATCGAAGGCCTTGGGTGGACACTGCCTTAGTCGTAGAGATTGACGGCAGGGCAAACTTTGGTGGGTGAGAGGTTGGCTGGTGAGCCTTGTCAAGTTTGTCATGAGACAGGTGATTGCGCTCGATAGCAGAGCCCTCATCGACAGGGCCCTTGAACGAGGTGAGAGAACCACGCGTGAGCGCCATGACGGAAGACCGATCTTGCTGACTGTGATCTGCCTGTTCCAAGAGCGACTTCTTCAGTTGAAAGTTCGAAAGAATGGCATCCGACCAAATGAGAGGGAGTGGGTCACATATGGAGAAATCATACGATCGGGCGGTCCGAGGAAGTCTTTCCAGGCTTGCTGTTTCCCGGGGATGTCCTGCGGCGCCAGAGAAAGCGGTACTGTCGGCATCTCCGCTGTCATCGTACGAGGCTCCAGTAAGACTAACAGGCCTTTCATCGGGCGATGGAGTACAAAACAGTGGAGATTCGGTTCGCTCCCCGGTGTGGCGCCTTCCAACATGGGTAATGGCCATGATCAAATAACATCTGGTCGATTTCACCCAATTTACGTGATTACTACAAGGCAACGCTTGTTTTTCACTGGAAGAGTGGGATCTTGTCGTCTCCCAATACCCGACAGAAGCCCAACAAACGCCGAGGCGCTTGTACAGCACCTGTCGGGCGGGACATGGCTTTGCTGTCAGGCAACACTTTGGGCCTTTTGAGCGCAAACAGCCATGAACCAGGAAGAAGCGATAGACGGACCAGGCTGGTCCTATCAAAAGCGATCAGTAAGCTTCCAGCCTCACTGTGAGGGCCTCGTATCCAATGGCAACTGCCAAGATATGGAAATGTTGTTGGAAGCAAACGGAATGCGCTGTTCAATTCATTTCCCGGTATGACACTCTGTGCCGGACTGGCCGAGAAATCACATATGCTTCGGAGCGCTATGTGACAAATGTATGCCTAGGTTACTCACGGAAGTGTGCTCGCCTGGATCATGGTAGTCATAAAGCAAGTCGTCCCGATCGAATATCATGCCAAAGAAAGATGATTAACGAGCATCGGTTCAAATCGCTGACTGTAACACCTTTCGTAGAAGATACCTAGGTAATTGCTTCTTGATTACGAGATGCTAGAAGGCGCGTACCGAACGCGTGTCGAGGGTTAAAGGCGGGGCTGAGGGAGGGCATTGAAGCAACAACACAGAAAATTCACGATGAGTGAGTCGGTGTCGATAGTAAACAACGCGAAATTGGATAGTTAGGGCTTCGCAAAGGCGACGACGACGGGCCTCGGCGCGACGCGTGAAAGACCGAAGCGTCAGCGCACCATAAGAGATTCGCAGCTGACTAAGCTGGTGGGTCCACCTCGCGAATCTCCAGCCCTCGTCTTTCTGACCTACTAATTAGAACTGTCGACGCCCGTGCGAGATCGCTAATCTTCAGGGCCATGGCAGAAGGAACCGCACCAGCTGCTGAAGTACCGGTCTCTGACAAGGCGTTGCGAGATGTGGCCAAGAATGTGGCGAAAATCTTGCCTAATTTCGCGGAGAAAGAGCCTGCAACTGCTCTGAAGTAAGGACGCAAAGTCCGTGAGCTTTGCTTTGTCGATGCCGAACCCCACTAACGTCTGAGTAGAGAGCTTCGTGTTATTCTCGATCCTGCTTTGGAAACTGCAGACCTCCCAGAACTAGAGAACAGCCATCGAGCAGCCGCATCCAATGCCTTGTGCGCAATCATTGAGTACTGCGCGACTTCCGACTGCGCCTATGCACGGGAGGCGATCCTAGATGATTCCATATGGATGCGAGTATTCAACATATATCTTCAGCGGTCTGGAGATGCAAAGGGCAAGTCGATGAGGCAGATGCTCTTGGTCCTTACGGGTGTCATTACTAAAGATCAGAGTGCGCGTGCAATCGAACTTCGGACACGAGCTACGACCTCATTCCTGGACATCATCTGTGAGCGAGAAGACCGCATCAAAGTTAAACCAGCTTTGCAAGGCCTTGCGCATTTCCTGCTGCGGGATGTGATTTCCATCACGGATTTGGTCAGTCTGTTCGACGAGCAGCTGAAGCGAACATCAGATGCCATCCAGGGGCCGGTAACTTCGCGAACAGTGTTCACATCCTTCCTTGCCTGGGTCGTGCATCATGATACTTCCCTTTCAGCGGGACACTTGATTAAGAACTACTTACTACAGGCTCGCCGTCTCGCAAACTACGACGAACACCCCGACGATGGCTTAGTCTTACCTCCCTGGATAGAGCCGGTGATGCAGACGTTGCGCGACTGGCCAGACCGGATCCAGGAGTTTAAGACTCACGTCTTCCCTCACTGTTTTCTACCCAATCTCTCTGAGTACCTAAGGTTCCTCGCATATCTCAATTTCGAGTCCCATGTTCCGTATAAGCATGCGTTACCCAGCCAGCTTCGCCAGTCCGGCAGGCGCACATCATCTCTTGGTGGACTAGAAGAGTTCAGAATACTCCTAGCAGCGATCGCAACTGGAAAGGAACTCAACATCGTAAAAGATAATGGTAAGTGGATGTGATTGGCATACATCAATAACAAAGGCACTCGCTCATCTCTGTACTAGATCATAGAGCTCAAAGCACCATCCAAATCCGTGACGGGGCGCTCTATTTGCCGGACGACATATCAGGAGCCTGGATGGCGGACTCGGAACCAGAAGTCAGGCTTGCAGGCATGTTCCTGGGCGTGTATTCTACTTCTGTCACGAAAGCTATGAGTGGCGGTATTTTGCAGGCCTTGAAGCGCAACCTCCCCCATCTTCATACCGACACGGATGCAAATTTCCGCCGGGAGGTGCATGGTTATACACAAAAGCTATTTGATCGTCTGAGAGCTAGTACAGCTACTCTAGCAAAACCCATCACGAAGGTTACTTCTTCAGACCAGAGACGCCTCCCTTTCCCAGCGACAAGCTCTAGCCCACATGTTTCAATTGCGCGGGTTCCGCGACAAGATTCACTTTCTGAGTCCCTAGCTTTCATCACTTGGTATGTGCAGTTCCTTGAATGGGAGCTGCGCCCAACTGCCTCTTACCAGAGCCGCATCACCGCACTACGGTCCATCACCATCGTATTACGATCTGGGATAGATCCTGGGGTACCGTTTACCAGTCTCTCAAAGTCTGCGCAAGGTCAGCTAAACTGGGCTCACGGTCTCCAGTTCGGAAACCAGAAGCTGTGCCGAATACTGCTCGATTTAATACTGGATCCTTTTGACGATGTTCGAGACGCGGCTGTATCGGTCTTGCAGCTATGTCTAGTTGCGCTTCCGCAATACGATAAGAAACGCATCATGTCAATGATTCCCCGATTCGTTACGAGAGCGGAGGCTACCATGCTCCGAACAGGGCGAGCGGATCAAGCGGACGGTGTTGCGCGTGCTTACGGGATGATCTTTGCGTTGGCTGGCGATGATCCAGGTGCCCCCACTGGCGAACACTTCTCTTCCAAGCAGCACCTCTTCGAATATCTGAGAACACAACTCGACGAAACGTTGACTCTGACCCGCAGCGATCTTCCACGAGCCGTCGATGGTCGACCGGTACATGGTACATTTGCTGCATTACGATATGTGACCGATCAACCCGATTTTTACGCGTTCGTCTCGAGCTTGCCATCTGATCAGTTTGCGCACTGGAAAAAAGCGCATGGGGACATCGTAACAGGCATAGAGAGTCTGTGGTCCTGCGTCTATCACGTTCTGTGTGCGGATGCACCGGAAGGCCATGTTCCTGACGAAGTAGAAGATGAGAGTAGCTTAGACACTAAAGAGATTCTGAGTTACTCATGGAGAGGATTGAAGGAGGCTAGGTATTGATTCCTCGACTACACAGCCGACACTGCTAACTTCATCAGTGTGCTTTTACGAACGATCATCCTCAAAGCTCCTGTAGGTGACGGTGACAACGACCTTGTGACTCCAGAACTCTTCGAAAAGCTCGGCAGACTCTGCTTCACTCAGCTACTGGAGCTTCGTCATCGCGGTGCGTTTTCGACAGTCTCTCAGACATTTGCAGTCTTCTGTCGCCGCTGTGTCTTGTCGAACATATCCACATTACGTGCTTTACCAGAGATGTGGTATCAGGTTTGTACAGCCACCGTCGGCGTGATCTGGAAACTAAAAGTCTCTAGGAAACGCTACGATCCATCCAAGCAAAGTCAGACGCCATCACTCGGAGGTCGGCGGGCATACCAGCAGCCATGTCCGCTCTACTGGCAGCTGAGCCACAAACAGGAGGCAAACTCTTCCCTCGAGCTATCAAAGATCTTGTCGCCGAAACTCTCGTGGAGGCGCAAAGCACAAATATAGAAGAAAGCCGTCTTCCTCAGGTGCATGCTCTGAATTGCATCAAGGAAATATTCACGACCTCGAAGCTGAGTATTGCATCGGAGACGTACATCGGGCAGGGTCTCGAGCTTGCTGCTAAAACTCTAAGCTCGCCCATGTTAGTGACACTTACACAGACATTACAGTTTTTAAGCTAACGCGCACTCAGATGGCCCCTTCGCAATTGCAGCTTGATGCTGTTCAAAGCTCTGATCGAACGACTACTCGGCAGCGACGAAGCTCAAGACTGGAAAGAACGAGAGCGAGCCAAAACGTCTCGGTTCTCCTACGACAACTATCCCAGTCTCGTGAAGATCCTGGTTGAACTGCTTGAGCCAAGCGGCGATCTCAAAATCATGGAGACACCCGAGAGTGGCAGTTCGCCAATGGATCTCCATGGTGCTGAAGGCGTGTTTCCCGCTCTCCAGATCTTGCGTCAGGCCCGGCCGCCGGGAGATCTTACCAAGATCCGCGGCTTGGTAAGGGACTTACTACCGAGCCCGCATTGGCATATGCGAGATATGGCGGCCAGAACATATGTGTCACTGGGCACTACTAACGAGAGCTACCATGAACTCTCTCCAATTCTAGATACGGTTACCAGCGATCACAATGAACAGCATGGGAGGCTCTTGGTAGTCAAGTATCTGCTGAGGAAGCTGTTGCGAGACGAAGTCCAATGCAGTGAGTGGTGTCGGAAGCAGAAACTAAATGTTCAGCTGTTGACCTCTGACAGATTTTAAACACTTCTCATCGTTGATGCAGCAGCTCGGCCAACACGCAACGAGTTGGTACATTTCGAGTGATTGCCCTTTTGTACGAGCCGCCTTCCTTGATGTTGTGAGCCTATGCGGCATGGCCATGCTGCAAAGAGCGACCGCTGTCACAATACTTGGTGCGTGGATTGACCTCACTACGTCCATAGCCATTGGACCGGAGTACAATATCGGACCAAGTGATCACCACGGTGATGATCTACTCAGGACATCCCTCGCACAGGTATACTTCGTTGACCGGATCATTCTGCGTGAAATTTCGCTTCACAGCATGGTCTCGGACGATTATCAAAACATTGGCGATGCGCTCATGCTTCTCGCAAACGAGGATCCGGATACCTGCATGGAAGCTCTGGAAGCTCTGGACTCCATATTACAGATGCAGACATCCAACGGACTAACCATTCCATTGTCGCTGGTCCTAGCGCATATCCATCGTGTAGTCCTGGAGGCCTGCGACCCAGAAGTCATCTCGAAAGCGCAAGCCGTTCTCGCCGACGCTCTTACCAAGGACCATTTGAAAAGCGACTTCTTCAGCCTGACGATGCAAGATCAAGTCATGCTCACCTTGACAAGGTTGGAAACACAGTGCGTCCATGGCCCACCATCAAATATGCAAAGCGCCCTGCATCTTCTAGGCTCATTCCTCGACCATGCTTACACCAGCTACTCACTCCACCGTGACGAGGTTCTCGCCCGTATCGCACGCTACATTCGCCTGCTACGCATGACAACCATCGATACCAACCCCTTCGACACTCGCTATGCAGCCATACAATCCCTGTCCGCGCTCAACTCCATCTTCTCCCTGGCCCCCAAAGGAAAAACAGGACCTCTGATCCTTGGGCTGGCCATCGTTCTTTACGACCTCCTCAACGACGATGACGACGAAATACGCGATCTAGCTGCCTCCACAGCAGGCATCCTCCTACGCTCACAGGGCGACCGACTGTTCAAGAACACGGTACCGATACTGACTACGCACCGTCTTGGGGCGTACCTGGTATCTGCATTCTCGACGTCACGATTCCTCGCCAAGGAAGCAATACGCCGTCTAACCAACACGCCCTCACCCCATCGTCTCTTCTCCACGCCATTCGCCAACACTTTTGCACGGGAGAGGAAGGAAGATACGTCGCTTTTTGCGCAGGAGAAGCAGAATTTGTACAAAGACGACACATTGGACACTATGCTGTGGTCGCGCATTCTCCTCTCCCTGTCTGCCTCTGCTGTGCCGCTGAGCCTGCGCACTGGGCTGACCAACTGGGTACTCGACGGTCTCACCGCACTCACACAAACAGCCGAGGGAGAAGGTGACGGCGCGCTGGGCTGGAGTACCAAAGCTGAGGTGTTTACGCTCGGTATGCGCATCTTCTGTGCGAGTGAAGTGGTGATGAGCTGGGGTGGTCAGGAAAGGGTAGAGGTGGTGAAGAGGGCGAAAGGGTTTGCCGATGTGGGTATTGAGAGAGGCGTTCATGGCCTGTGGATTGAGAGGGTCGAGAGGGTCTTGAACAAGGAAGTGGTGCGCATGCTACGCAGGGTCAAGGGAGGACTGTTGGAGATGGCAGGGTAAGCTAGAAAACGCATAATTGGTGATTCAACACGCCAATCCGACAATGAAAAGTATCTTTTGCGACTGGATGGGATAGAGTTGTATTGGACGTCCACAAGAATGACAACAACAAGCTCACTACGCGGAAGCTGGAAAAAAATCGTACACTACCGCCGATAGAATACATTCACAGCACTCTCCCCCACACTCTTACTTACACTGCCATATTTTGCCTGCCAGGCAAAGAAATAAAGCAGCGCCGCGAGTGGCTGTCCCACGAGACAAAAGCTCATCCAGAAAATCATGTTACCTGCAACCCTCCCCTGGATCCATTTGACCTTTTGGATGACATCTGTGAGCGCAATGAGCGGGATCTGGAACATCATGCCAGCAAAAGCTACGCCAATAATGTTGTGTGTGGGGACGCCGACGAGCAGTTCGTGCAGGACGCCAGAAAAGAGGAAGACGAGGATCTGGGCCAGGGCGGGAGGCACACCGCGGCCGACAAGAGGTGAGTAGATGTGGCGGCGCATAAAGTTGGTCACGGGCTTGTTCCAGGTAGTCCAGTAGGTGCGGATGGACGAGACGTTCCACCAGTCGCCGTAGAACTCTCGGTCGCCGAACCGCATGACTTCGGCAAGCGCATTGAGAGCGGACTGGAAGAGGGCGAAGAAGCCGCACAGCCAGCAGAAGACGCTGATGGTGGATAGCTTCATGACGCGCTCAGCAATGGACGTAAAGTTCAACGTGAGGATCTTGTCGAGCGAGTTCTGCAACAGCGGCGCGGCGTATTGGGCGGAGGCGATCCAGATGACGATGCTGAGACCAGCGAGTTCGGCCAGACGTTTGAGGACAAAGTCCCAGCGGATCGTGTCGGTTCGGGGGTAGACGGGCTGGTAGACGAGGGTGGGTGCCCACCAGAAGTAGCACAGGTTCTTCATGTTGATGTTCTGCGGATATGGGCATGCTTTGTAGAGCTCAGGCAGCGGATCGGCCTGCTTGGGGTGCAGGTAGGCATGGCGGAGGTCGCGGTTTGTGAGTGCGTAGGAAGCGCACTTGAGGAAGACGATGACGGCGTGCAGTTCGCAGAGGGTGCCAATGCCCGGGTGGTAGATGTCGTAGTAGACGTACTTGGTCGCGATGTAGAGGTTGGCGACTGCGTTGACGCTGTGGAAAAAAGCGACAATGTACCACGTCGAGTTGAAGCTGCGCAGGGCGGCGGCGTAGCTGGCGGGCGTGTCTTGGTCGCGTTGGTGGGAGATGCGGGCGTAGGCTCGGTCGGCCTGCCAGGCGGCGGCGAGCTCGATCAGGTAGGTGACGAAGAGGTGGGCGGGGACGAGCAGGTAGAGCAGCAGGCCGGTGACGACGTCGGAGCGGCGGTAGTCGTGGCAGGACAGACAGATGAGGACGCCGTACTTCTGCAGGTTCACGATCATCAAGCGCAGGTTGGAGACGACTGCAGTGGTCAGCGATGTGCGGCTACTGCCGGGAGTGGCGGCGTCGTACTCAGGACCAAGATCATGAGGTTCCTGAAGCCGACGAAGCTCGGCATCTTGTCTGCGCTCTCCTGGCTGAGGCACGAGGTGCGCGACGCCGAGTGCGTCGCAAAGACATGGCGGTATTTGGTGTCGCGCGCACGCTTGGTGGTGCCATTGGGAGTGGGAGCGGTCTTTCCGCGGTACACCGGGGAGCTGGCGTGCTGCATGTCGAGGGCAGAAGAGGCGGCCAGTTGGGTGAGGGTGGCCATGGCGGAGGGTTGGGCGCAATGGCTCGGGCGGAAGCAACTACAGCCAGCGAGGGACGACAGAACGAGGGCGGCGGGGGATTTGTAGTCGGGATAAGCGCGCCATGGCCGAGGGTTCTGGCACAATGGCGATAGAGTTATCAGGGCGTCGCGGGATTCTGTTGGGAGTCTGGTGAGCGGGGATCTGCACGGTGATGCAGCGCGCCCAGGTGTCGAGTGTGGCGCTGTGGCTGCGCTGTGGCCGACGTTCCCACGTCCAACGCGACGAGGCACGCGCTTCCACTGCACACAACACCTGCGCAGCACCCCGACTCACCACCGCGCACCCGACGCGCCCCCCATGGTGATCGAGTAAACGGCGTCTTCGGCAGCAGCACGCCATGGAGCGCGAATACCATCGTCCGGACTTTGAGGGAGGCTTGCGGCCCCGACCAAAACGTCAGTATGCCTGTTCATCATGCGCAGGATTCATAGACTGACTACAACCGCAGGCGCCGTGACCGACTATGGCTCGACGACGGTCCAGTGGATGCGCAACCGCCGCCCGCGCTACAAGAATGCGCCCGCGCCAGAGATGGAGCGGCCGAGCGCCAGCTACATCGTCGACATGCAGCCGCCCGCAGCACGTGTCGCCAGCGCCGCCGAGTCGATACCTGCCAAAGCCGTGCATTCGTCTCTGAACAAGGTCAAGCACCCCATCAACGTCGTCAAGTGGACGCCAGAGGGCCGCCGCCTGCTCACGGGCTCGACCAGCGGCGAGTTCACGCTGTGGAACGGCATGGGCTTCAACTTCGAGACCATTATGCAGGCCCATGAGGCTGCCATCCGCGCCGTCGAATACACGTCCACCGACGACTGGCTCCTGTCAGCCGACCAGACCGGTGTCGTCAAGTACTGGCAGACCAACTTCAACAACGTCAAAGAGATTCAGGCCCACACCGAAGCTGTGCGAGGCCTGTCCATCGCGCCGACCGACACCAAATTCGTCACATGCGCCGACGACACCACGCTCAAGATCTGGGACTTTGCGTCGAGTACAGAAGAGTCGACGTTGACAGGACACGGGTGGGAGGTCAAGTCGGTCGACTGGCATCCGCACAAGGGACTGCTAGTATCAGGGTCCAAGGACCACCAGGTCAAGTTCTGGGACCCGCGCACAGGGCGCTGTCTGACGACGCTTCATGGACATAAAAACCCAATATCAAAAACCATGTTCGAGCCCGTCCAAGGAAACATGCTAGCAACATGCGCCCGTGACCACACAGCCCGCATCTTTGATCTCCGAATGATGCGCGACGTCTTACTGCTCAAGGGACATGAGAAGGACATCATCACCATGGCATGGCATCCCATGCACAAGAACCTGTTGTCTACCGGCGGCGTCGATGGTAGCATACACCACTATCTCCTCGACGAGCAGAACCCTCCCGCCGGCGTCGCACCCTCGATATCGCCCTACGACGCCGCCGACTCGCAAAACGCCCCCTCACAAACCATATACCCCGCGCACAGCCTGCAATATGCTCACGACTTCACTGTCTGGACCATGGACTGGCATCCGTTAGGCCACATCCTCGCCTCGGGCTCCAACGATAGGGTCACGCGCTTCTGGACGCGTCCACGGCCAGGCGACACCAACTACGTCAATGACCGTTACCACATTGGCCAAGCAGCAGCAGAGGCGCAAGGCACGTTCGACCGCGGTCAGGGCAGGCGGCAAAAGATGGAAGAAGAAGAGCAGGAGGCAGAAGACGAGGCCGAAGGCTTGGTCGATCAGAAGATGCCTTCAAAGAACCCAGGCGGTGGCTTCCTCCCACCTGGTCTTTCGCTGCCAGGACTCAACACAGCACCAGATGGCACTTCGAGTTCTCTACCGGGTATTGGGGGCACAAATCATCCACCAATCCCACCCCCACCAGGCGGTATGCCCTTTCCACCCCCACCAAATGCGGGCGGGGCGCCTATTCCTCCTTTCAACGGCATGGACCCCTCCCGCCTTGCACAACTCATCGCATCTGGCTCCCTACCACCCCCTCCTATACCCCATGGCCACGGACCTCCTCCACCAAACGCCAACGGAGCCCCTCCTTTTCCACCACCAAACTTTCCTGGCTTTCCACAAGGCATGCCCCCTGGTATGCCACCACTTCCTCCAGGCATGCCCCCTCCCGGATTCCCGGGCTTCCCTCCACCACCTGGCGGTATGGGTGCGCCGCCACCGGGATGGCCTGGTCCGCCCCCGCCGCCACAACATCAGCAAGGGTTTGCGGGTGGGCAGGGTGGACCTGCGGGTGTAGGTGCAGATGGTATCAGGAGAAGAGCGCCGTTACCGGATCAGCAGGATGCTTTGAAGGCAGAAATGAATCAGGGACGGTACCGAAAAGCAAGGTAGACGTATTTGGCGTTAGTGTTGACACCGGAATGTACGATCAAATTATGTTGGAAGTCAGTGAGCGTTTGTGTTACGTTAAGGGACAGGGAGTGACAAGTAAAAGGTGCAGTACTAGTCCCTTTTCTTCTCCAGGAATACCCAGATTGGCCATCTGCATTTGCGCTTTCGTACTGCTTGTGTGCTTCAAGACTCTTCATGTGCACCTTCGCGGCCTCTACGCTCTCTACATATCCTCCACCAACCCAGGATCCTCCATGTCCTTGACGAACTCCACCTTGGCCACATCCTTCAACTCCACATCTCCCTTCACCACCCTTTCCCCATGATTCCACAACTCATCCAGAAAAGCCGGAACAAAAGTCCCCGGGCCTCTGACATCCTCCCTCTGCGCCGCAATCTCTGCCGCAATCTCATAATGCAGCAAACCCGCGACAGCAGCCAACAGCTTATCCTCACGGTACGCAGCCAGATACGCAGATAGCGTGGTTCCCAACGTGCACCCACTCCCCGTGATCCTCCCCAAATACTCATGTCCATTCGCCACCGCATACGTGCGCGCGCCATCCGAAACAAGATCCGTAGCCCCCGTCATAAGCACAATTGTGCGTTCGCGAGCCGCAAGCCGGGAAACAATATGCGCCCTTTGGGGCAGCGAGAAGAGTGAAGCACCAGAGTCCACACCTCGCTGTTGCTGACTCGAACCTTCAAGCGTATACCCACTTGCACGTGCAACGGCGAGAATCTCGCTCTCGTTCCCTTTGATCAAGTCGAAATACCCGGCGCCGAGGAGCTGGGCTAGAGCGTCTCGTCGTACACTTGTTGCGCCGGCGCCCACGGGATCGAGGATGATGGGTCCGCCGGCGGCGTTGTACGCGTTGATGGCTT